AAATAAATAAATAAATAAAACCCGATAATTTTTGCTTTAAAAACTATTAGAAAATAAAAGGATATTGTTCAGAATGTTCGCTGGATAAATTAAATGAATTGATAAAAAAATATATATTTATAGAAAAAAATTATTTTGCCAAACTTAAGTTGAAAATATGCTAGAAAAAATAACTGCTTATAATCCAAAAAAATATTTTATTTCGTTTCCAAAAATATATCTATTCCATCACTAGCCTGAAATTCCCTAAAGACTCATCTCTTAAATCCCCCCCCCCAACACCAAAAATAATAATAATAATAATAATATAATAAAATAAATAATGAAGCTCTCACTCTATTGCAAATCCATTTACGTTCAATTTTGGCCTCTCAACATGTTTGCACCCAACTTCTCAGTTACACCAATTCTTGATCAATGGGTTAGACAAGGCAATTCCGTAACAACATATGAGTTGCAGCAGATAATAACGGAGTTGAAGATTTACAAGCGTTTCAATCATGTGGTTTGTGATTTTTATTATGATTTTTACTTTTACTTATGGTATTGGATTATGATTTTTTGTTTCCCATTTTTTTTATATGGAAGGAAACGATTTATTGAAAATAAGTAAAAAAGTGCACTTGGTGTAGAATTCATGTGGTTTTCACTTTTTAGATGATAATTAGGGACTAAATTCTGCTGATTGCAACAGATAGGGATGCAAAAATGAAATTTTATTGAATTTGTGAAGTTTGAATGACCCACTTGAACCATTGTTGTTTTGTTATATATAATAAAAAAAAATGAGAACTTGATCTTTTGTTATGAAACAACCAAATCTTATTACGGATTTTGCCAATCGAAGCAAATGGGCCTGTGAAATTAAGTAAGTTAATCAGCTTGTAGAGAAGTATGTATACTTGTAAGTTATTCCGTGCCTTTGATTGTTTATGGTCGATTTGGATTGGTTTTCTTCTGCGAACGAGGCTGTTGGCATTTCGTGGAACTCTTTACATTATAAAAAATTGATCTTTTTGCTTGGAGACAGCTGCAAAATTGACGGGGAGGTCAAAAATGCAGGTGGCCTCGTCCTGATACAGTGATTTGAAGAGATATTTTATTTTCAAGGCAGAACTTCTTCAGAACCTTATACTTTAGTTGCGTAGTGGATATGTTTCTAAGTCATGCTTGTTTCCTCATCCTCTTTATTTTGATTTAATTTTAATTCTTTGTTCTTGCTGGATATCTCACTGGATGAGCAACAGGATGTATTTTCCTCTTTCATGCAATGATATAGCAACCAGGATGAACTTAGTCTCGAGGGTCCATGGCATG